GATGTGCTGAGAGAAACTGAATTCAAAGTCCTCCAAGTTCTTCAATGTAACCTGCTTCTCAGGACCAACCTGGGACGTCGAGGTGAACAGCTTCTGCTGTCTTTCCTTGCCGTCGGCAGGCCACTTCAGCGAGACAGCGTAGGAAGCGGCGTCACTAGCACGAATGTCCTTGACACGGAAGCTAGGGCTGAGAGCGGCACCCTTGAAGGCCGCACCGAAAACCGCTGCCTCATCAGCGTTGACGTTAGTCCTGAGCTTGTTGGGGACTCCACAGACGCGCTCCAGCTCCTTCTGGACAAACGGCGTACGGATGGCTCCACCATGCAAGATAACAGAATCAACATCAATCAACTGCAACCCAGCAGCCGTCAAAGCCTGCTCCAAAGGTCCACCGACTCGCGCAATGTGCTGCGCGGCCAGCTCCTCGAACTTGGAACGACTGATGCGGTACTTGAAGTTCAAGTCCTCCTCGTACAGACTTTCGAACGAGGCTCCGGTTTCCGTGTTGGCACTCAAGACCTGGCGAATCTTTTCGGCGTCCTTCCACAGTCTCGCCACAGTCTTTCCGTGGCTCTCGACGGTCGCAGGGGTAACACGACCCTTGAGGGTCTTGTGCTCAACCAGATTCGCGACCATGTCCTTGACAATTAGGTCGTTCAGGGCGTCACCTCCAAGAGACTTGTCCCAAGCCGAACCCAGAACCTGGATTTCCTGAACAGTCTTGTTGAATTTACCCACGTCCTTCACGGAGCGGCCCTGGAAACGCAGAACACTGGCCGTAGTAGAGCCAGCACCCATGTCATAGACGACGTGATACTCCGGCTTGTGGCCTTCCGAAACACTAGGGAACGTACGGCTAGTGGCGTAGTTCATACCAACCGCGAGACCATCGGTAATAAATGAGTCCACGTTCAAACCGGCCAACTCAGCCGCCAACTCGAGACTTCTCTTCTCATCGGCGGTGTAGAACACCGGATACGTGATAACGGCGTCTCTAATATCGGACCCTGTACCGGCAAGATTCTCGGCGTTACCCTTGACTTGCTTCAATTGCATAGCCAAGAGCTCCTCAACCAAGAACGCATCTTTCCGCTCCGCCTCACCAAGCCGGTTACTCCGGAGACCAACAGTGCCGCGCTCACCAGGAGCAGCTTCCAGCCTCAAAGCGGGATATCGGTGCTGATATGTTTGGATCGTCTCATCGTCGACGTTGAACGGGACACCAAGTAGAGTTTTCAGATTCGCGTAGACATCGTCGGGATACCGCGCCGCCAGACCAAGCGCATCGCCACTGTAGAATCTCTCGGGGAACACGGCGTCATCTCTCGTGGGCTTGAATGCGACGGCGGCCGTCTCTTTGCGCTTCGAATCCTTGGTGAGGACGATCTCGAGTGGGATTCCGGGCTTCACTAATGCTGCTTTGAGATATTCGGTTCCGACATCGATACCGATCACCGCTGACCCGGCAGCGGCTGCTTCGGCGGGCAAACTGAGAAGGAAGACGAGGAATGGGAGGATCACGACGGAGAGGAGGGGAGAGGATAGCGCATGTAACCGTTGCCGGCCATGAGGAGGCATTGTCTATATGTTATTCCAGCTGCAAAGGTTAGGCTCGCCATCGTCCTCTATACCGACTTAATATATCGCGACATACCTTGAAGCTGTTAAGAATATAAATATCAAATGTAATCAAACGACGGTTCGGGACTCGAGAACGACAGAGATATAGAGCTAAATAGAAAAACGGCGGACCTCAATCAAACCCAGCCATCTAGAAAACAAGCGCAAGGCGTACTGGCCACCTGGCAGAAAGCATCAAGGGGACAGATTCAAAGAAAGAAGTCTGAAGATGATTGAAGAAAGAGCGAGACTGAGCCTCTTTTGGGATGAGGACACGTTTGGCCGAGGCGATGCAAACACTTCCTGATACGGCAAGTTTGCACAAGGCGATCTCGGCGATCACAAGGCAGAATCAGGCACTATGTATACAGGGACATACGAACAATAGCATAATGCAAAGCAATTACCATTAAACATGTCGCATCAATTTATATACTCGTAACTTTTCCCAAATCTCACTTCATCTACAATCCACCAGATAATCCAACAAAAAGAAAAGTTTACTGGGAATCCGCCTGTCTTGTCAGAGCCTCTATATCGACCTTGACTCCGGTGTTGCCGCTGGGAGCAACTTCGACCGCAGCGTTATTTGAGCCAGTGAGCTGATCAAGAGCCACGAAATCCTCATTTGTCAGATCGTGGGAGCGGATGGGACGGAAAGGAGCAGGAGAGCCAGCGCGCGATGTGAGGAACTGTAACATTCGTTAGCTTCACTATATAGGAAATAGAGGATGAATGAACTTACCGAGCTAGCAGCACTGAGGAGGGCAATCAAACTGGCCTGGACAACATCCTGATGGATACCAACACCCCAGATCGTCTCCTTGCTGCCGGCTGCTGTGCACTGGATGTACGTAGCGGCCTTGACATCTCTACCAGCCTTGTCATCTCCAACCTTCTTACCGATGGAGTGTTCCTTGTAGTCGACAACGTCGAGGTCAATGCCCAAAGAGGAAAGGGCGGTGGCCAGGGAAGAGATGGCACCAGGGCCGACACCGGTAATGGCATGTTGGACGTTATCGATCTCAATAATACCAGTGAAGCGACGCTTGAGGTTCTGGGTGTTGAGGGCTTTGCCGGGCTCCGGCGGGGCGGGAGAGGTCGACCGGTCGGTGGTGATGCTGTAGTCGACCAGGTTGAAGCGCGGGTTGGTGTTGAGGTGGTATGACTCTTGGAAGAGGTTCACAATCTCCTTGGGCTGCAGCTCCCGGCTAACAGTCTCGGTTTCTCTCTGGACAACCTTACTAAACTCAACCTGCAGGGCACGGGGGAGATCCAGCTCCAAGTACCGCAGGATGACCCAGGCGGTACCACCCTTACCACTCTGGGAGTTGACACGGATAACCGCCTCGTAGTTGCGTCCAATGTCCTCGGGGTCGAGAGGGAGGTAGGGGATCTCCCACTTAGGCTCGTCACCTCCCTGTACGCCGTCCTCACGCAGCTTGAATCCCTTCTTGATGGCATCCTGGTGACTGCCACTGAAGGCGCAGACGACCAGCTGACCGCCATATGGCCACCGCTCGTTGACGGGAATCTTGTTGCTCTCCTCCACGAGCTGGATGACCGAGTTGAGATCCGAGAAGTCAACGTTGGGGGTGACTCCTTGGGTGTACAGGTTCAGCGCAAGAGTAACCAGGTCGACATTACCGGTTCTCTCGCCATTTCCGAACAAAGTACCCTCAACACGCTGAGCACCAGCCATCTGAGCCAGTTCCGCTGCTGCGACGGCACAGCCACGGTCGTTGTGCGGATGTACCGAAATAACATACTTTTCTCTTTCGGTCATATGCGAGCAGAAGAATTCGATCTGGTCGGCGAAAACGTTGGGGGTCGCCATCTCTACTGTCGCGGGGAGGTTGAAGATGATGGGGGCGTCCTCTGTGGGTTCCCAAGCAGCCTTGACTGCCTGGCAGACTTGTGCCGCATATTCGGGCTCGGTGTCGGAGAAGGTCTCGGGGGAGAATTCAAAGTGCCATTCGGTGCCGGCCATAGATGGGTCATCCTTGGTGATGGAGCGAGCGAATTTGGTGCAGCGGACAGCAATCTCCAAACTCTGTTCCTTGCTGGTGTTGAACACAATGCGGCGGAAGCATTCGCTGGTGGCCAGGTAGATGTGCAGAATCGCCTTCTTTGCGCCCCTGAGGGACTCGACTGTGCGCCGGATGATATCCTCACGGCAGGGGGCCAGGACCTGGAGCCAAACATCGTCGGGAACAACACCAGGGGTCTCGACCAAGCGACGGGTGAAGTCGAAGTCTGTTTGTGAGGCGGCGGGGAACGAAACCTCGATTTCCTTGTAACCAATCTCGACGAGCTTCTGGAAGAAACGGAACTTTTGCTCTCCATCCTACACCGGCTTGTTAGCGTACTAAAGGAGATCCCAAAGCAACAATGCAATATACCATTGGATCCGGCAAACTCTGATTGCCATCTCTCAGGTCGGTGGCCAGCCACCGGGGAGCCTTTTCGATAACCTTATCGGGCCATTGACGGTTAGGGAGGTTGACGGTTTTGAAGCGCTTGTATTTCTTCGAGGGATCTTTGAGCCTATAGACATCGGATAGTTAGATGATTGAACAATTGAAGCGAACACGGCAATGCCATAGGGTAGAGTATAGAGACCAGAAGTCTCAAAGCCCGCCGGGATGCAAAAGCGGAGGAGGGGTTCAAGGATGTACATACATGGGCATGATGGCGGTGAAATGAGGATAAGAGGAGGAGAAAGAGTTTTCAGGTGATATCAAAAGAAAAGAATCAACAATTCAGAATTGCAGTTTGCCGGCCAACGCCTTTAAGAGAAAAGGAATCAAGAGAAGGGCGTAGGATTGGCAGTAGTGAGTCAAGCACATGTCCACCGATGACGCTCTTTTTTTCTTCTTTTTTTTCTGCGGCGCCGATGGCGGGGAGCGTCTACAAAGTATGGAGCACTACATAAAGAGACAACCAGTGACATTCCAGCAATTAGACGTCCATTGAGATGCTCTGCTATTTACGGTATCAATCAATGCTGTTTCTATGTTTAATTTCCACTTTTACTCGCTTTGCCACGGTCTTTCCAACATCCTTTTGCCCTCTTTTTGCTCTGTCGAGGGGCCCGATGACCGGAGGATATTATGGCCTGAGGCAGGAATATAACAGAATCTGCCGCGGATAGCCGGTCTCTGCGGCTGGTATCGGGTTCTTCGTACCTGGCGAGCATCACGACTAAGATGCCCTAAACCACTGTGCTGGTACGCGAGTGCTGAACTATGGAACCTATACGACATACAAGACCATTCCGGGATATGTACTTCTATGACATTAAATAGATCACAAATGCATATCACAATGCATAAAACAACGCTTTTTAACAACAATCAAAGATCCTCAAAGAAGCAAGATCATTTCTTCCCCTTCCCCTTGCCCTTCTGACCCTGCTTCTTACCATTCTTCGAAGCCGGGGGCGCCTCCCTCATTGCCTTGCCCTTCTTCCATCCCGGGTTACCCTCCGATCTGGCCCGGCTATCATCCAGTCGCTTTTTATCCTTGTTCGACAACTTCACCTTGTCCTTCTTGCTCAAGCCAGCTTCGGGTCCATTAAGCGCAGCCGCGCCCTTCTTCTTCGCCTCCTTCTTCTGCTGCTCCGTCTCGAACCACGTCCGCTTCGGCCGTGCCATGATCTCCGCCCCGTGCTTCATCAGATTCTCGCCCTTGGTGACCTGCATCTCAGCCTGCGCGAACTGCTTCTCTGTCTTCTCCTCCTCGAGAATCTCGTCGATTTCCTCCTTCATGTTCTCGGCTTTGGTGGCCCAGGAGTCAGCGACGGCGGGGTCGACGACGCGGGAAGCGATCTTGGCGCCTTGCGCTTTACCGGCTCTCACAGCGGCTTTGACGACCTTGCGGTCTGGTTCGGCGGCGATGGTGCAGGCGCGACCGGAGCGGCCGGCACGGGCCGTACGACCGACTCTGTGGAGGTAGAGTTCGTGGTTTTGGGGAGCTTCGTAGTTGATGACGGTTTCGACACCCTTGATATCGAGACCACGGGAGGCCAGGTCTGTGGCTAGGAGGAAAGCGACGTGTCCTTCGCGGAAGTTTTCAACGCTTTTAATACGCTGTAGAATGTGTCAGTGGTCTGTGTATTTGCGTGGGATAGGAAGTAGAGCATACCTGTTCCTGGCTCATGCTACCGTGCAACTCCGCAGCCTTGAGTCCCAAGAGTCCGAAAACAATCCGAACCCGGTGCGCCTCGCGCTTCTGTCTGAAGAAGATAATGACACGACCGGTATAGATCTCCTTGCAGAGATGCATAAGGTACCCGAGTCGCTTATTTTCACGCCCAGGACGTAACCGCACGAATTCTTGCACCAGCGAAGAAGCAGTGTTCTTCTTTGCGTCGACCATCAAGCGAACAGGACGGTTGAGACCGACACGGATAAGCTTGTCGACGGTGTCTGTCATGGTAGCAGAAAAGAGCATCGTCTGTCGCGACTTGGGGATAGTGGTGAGAATCTCGTTCAACTCATCGGCGAAACCATCTTCGAGCATCCGGTCTGCTTCATCCAGAACCAGGATTTCCAGTGTGTCGACCGTGAAGCTAGCCGAGTTGCGCATGTGGTCGATGAAACGACCGGGTGTAGCGATGATCACATCGGGGCGCTTCTTCAGCACGTTCTCCTGCTCTCGCAGACTGAAACCACCAACAAGCTGACAGAAGGTGATATCGGTGTAGGTAGCAAGCTTGGTAGCCACGTTGTAACACTGCACTGCCAGTTCACGAGTGGGCATCAGGATCACGACACGGCTGGTGGGAACCTTTCGGGGACGGAAGAGCAGACGTTCGAGGATGGGGACAACGAAGGCTGCGGTCTTTCCGGAACCAGTGACAGCACTACCGACGATATCCTTGCCCAGCAGGGCCACTGGGACTGTCTTGCGCTGAATAGGGGTAGGGTTCGAGAAGCCAACGGCAGCCAGACCACGGAGAATAGGACGGGACAGGTTGAATTCCTGGAACGACCGCTTCGTATCGGCATTTGACTGTTCCGGGGTCTTCTCTTCGGGTGCGAAGAATGCCCTGCGCTTTTCTTGTTCCTCATCGTCGACATCGCTTTCGGCCTCCGAGTCGTCCGAGCCATTATCGTCAGGATGGTTGACAGGGGTCGCTACCGAGTCGTTATCAGATGCCGCATCGTCGTCGTCCTCTTCGGAGTCGCTGCCTGTCTCTGAATCGTCGTCTTCCTGAGACCCAGCCTTGTCCTCTTGTTCACTCTCGTCTTCCCCATCAGCACCCATACCGAACCCATCAGTAGCAAGCAGTTCATCATCCTTGAAATCGACATCCATGCCATCTTCGTCGCCACCGTCCTCGGCTTCGTCGTCGGAACTTTCCTTCTTTTGCTTCTTCTGCTTCTTCTTCGAATCGGCCTCCTTCTTCGCCTGTCGTCTCGAAATAATGTCATCAATATCCACACCCTTCTTATCCCCATTCTTACCCTCGCCCTCTCCAGCACCCCATCCATCAAACCCTTCAACGACACCCTGATTCGCAGCACCAGCAACATCAAACTCGAAATCCGGGTCCAAAGCCCCATCATCCTCGCCGACATCCGCTTCCTCCTCGTCCTCATCCTCCTCATCTTCCTCAGGTTCAGGCTCAGGCTCAGTACCCTTCTTCCCCTTCTTATTCTTCTTCTTGTCGTCCTTTCCATTCGTCAATTGCTGCTTTTGCTTCTTGTTCTTTTCCTTCGTCGAGGTCTCGGTGGCTTCCCGCTTGCGCTTTTTCGTTGTCGCGAGCACGTTGTTATCTTCGCCATCTTCTTCTTCTTCTTCTCCTTCGATGTCAACGGGAAGGTTCTCGTCGTCGGATAGAGTCAGGACGAAGTCGTCGTCGGCGTTGCGCTTGGGTGCCATTTTGGTTCAAATTGTGCGCACAGGTCGCGCGAGGTCGAGGTAGATTAAAAAGATAGTCTTGCTAGGAGACGTTTAAAGCAAAAGTAAAATATCAAAAAGTAGACCCTTTTATCCACCTCCAATGGCGCTGTATAATGATGGGTTATTATCCCGCCCTTTTTTTTTTTCTTTTTTTTTTTTTTTTTTTTTTTTTTAATTACAGTTAGCTTCCGTCTTGTCTTTTTATTTTTATTTTTTTTTTTTTTGCCAGGAAAAATGTTTCGATTTACGGAGGCGGTGAGAATGGTATGGATGGCAGAAAATAATATGGGGGTTTCCGCCTTTTGATTGGCTTTGGATACTTGAATGAGCATCCTCTCTGTTATTATTATTTTCAAGCTTTTTCCTGGCCTCAAAGATATTGGTCACTAACACAAAATGAATAAAGAAAATCCATCGAGATCTCAAGAACAGACAAAACCATTGAAATGGAAGAAGATCGAATCAAAGATGTCATTAGATCTCAACTCATGCCTTCTCTCCTCAAGACAAATACAAGAAAGTAACCGTCGAACTTGATATGAGAAAGACAGTTGTCGTGATATGCAGAAACGTAATCGAAAAGAAACAACCAAGTACAGAAGAGTTGAAACCAGGAAGCCCCCGGGTCGGCGACAGTATTCAAAAGCTGATATAAATCTCGTGTGATCTGGTCTTCATGTTAGCTTTGAACGCCTCACAATTGGATGAAAGGACATTGGGATGATTGCTGCTGGCCAGAGACAGAATATTTTGCCATCAGTTTCTGATAGTATCGTTGTCGATGGGTCCAACTCTGCGGACAAGGTAGTTGACACAGAGACTATGACATGTGTGAGTAACGGTTCATTGGAGGGGGAGGTAGGGGGGAGGTGGGGGGGAAGAAGAACTTACAATCGATTAAACTTGATCCGAGTACCCCTGAGCAGACCCTGTTGCTCAAAACCATAATTCTTCTCAAGCCACTCATGAATCCATTTATACTGCTTACGGTCCTCGTACGGGTAACTGATGACGAACATAAGACGAACAAGCCGACGTCGACCTCCCGAATAGTAACCAGTACGATCCTCGAAGCCGGCATCGAAGAAATAGCCACCAAGGGGATTGTAGGCCGGATCGCAGACCTCTAAAAGCTTGTCCATCAAGCATTTTCCGACACCCCGGCGTTTGAACTCGGGTCTGACGAAGATCTCGAGATCCGCGGTGAAACGCTCAGCAGTTCGATCGCCAATGGTATTGGTGGCAAGTGCGTAGCCCAGGATCTTCTGGGAAGAGTTGTCCCGGTTGTGAATGGACCTACGCTCAGCGGCGACGATGAAGGGCAATCTTTCGCGCTTGGCGGTTTCGATGCGTTCGCGGACTTCATCCTCATTAAGCGCGGCCACGTCGACGGTGAGGGTGGACTTGTGGATGTACCAGTTGAAAAAATCGAGGAGCTCGGGGATATCACTCATTTCGACGGGGCGGAGGTAGAGGTTTGCTTTCGGGGTCTGCGGGCTGACCAAGGGGATGGTGGTATTGGTGCTCTCAATGTAGGCGTTGCGAGCCCGCACTCGTCGCTCCTGCTCCTCTTCTTCCTCGCGTTTGAGGTGCAGCGCCCAGTTGTAGCAGTAGCCCTCTACCGTTTCGTGGCAGTGGAGGCGGGATTCTTCGTCGTTCCAGTCGAGGCTGGTCGAATGGTCGTCGAAATCAGGAATCAAGAGTGACGCCTCTCCATCAGGATGGGCGGTGCCATCGAAGAAAGCTGGATGGTAGATATCGACATAGCAGCAGATCAAAAGGGTCGTGTCAAGCCAGCGACGGAACCAATCGCGGAAGGCCTCGAAATTGGAACAAGCGCGAGGACGATACTCCCAGTCCGCGTAAAAGGCATCGCCCCAGTTATGCTCAGCGGGCTGAACTGCAGTACTTAGATCGGCAGCATCGAGGCCCATCTGAAGACCAACCTCCTGACTGGACGCTTTGGGTATAAGCGCGGAATCTGTCGGTTCGGACAAGAGAACGAGCCGTCCATCATCGACAACGGGATAAACCGCCTCAGTCTCCGCGTAAGCAGTCCACTGCGCCTGGTACCGTTCAATCTTCGGTCCCAGAGCGCCAACAGGCGACTGGACGGACGAATTTCTGTGGGATTTGCCTGGGACAGCACGCCACTTGGAAAATTCTTGATAAACCTTGGATTTAGGGTCTGTTCCCGGGCCCTCTCTGACCTTGATCAGAGCTTCAGGGTTCGTAGAAGGCGTATCCAGATCCTTGAAGCGGTTCTGGTGGGCCTTGACCACGATCTTCTGCTGCAGCCGCTTCAGTTCCTCCAAGGTCTCCTGCGGAGCAGACTTTTGAAGGTCCTTGAGCACGTCGCTGTGAGGCTTGTTCTGCGACGGCCCCTTGTCCGCAGAAGGACGTCTGGTGTTCACCTCTCTGCTCTGCGGGGCTGGCTCCCTCTTGACAGAAATATTGGTTCTGCTATCCGATCGTCCATTCTGCATGGGGTTTGACAAACGTCTGCTCTTGTGTTGAGCGATATTCTGTTCAAGCACCTGTCGAGGCCTAGGACCGGCTCCGAATCTCCCATTGGCATTACCTCCAAACCGGCCGTTTCTCAGCATGACTTCGTCTGAGGCGTCGGACATTTTGACGAGGGCTGTCTCTGTGTTTTCTGGGCCAGTTAGCCTCAAGGGACTTGACAAGGTATGTGTCAAATTGTTACCGTTGGAAGCAACCGGTTGTTCTTTTTTCGAGGGTAATGTGCTTGTTGTGCTAAGGATAGATTTCTGACTCTCACTCTGAGAAAGCAGTCGAGAGGGAAGTCGGTTTTCTCCTGGAGGTAGAGCTATTGGGACGATGGTGGGCAGTGAAGTAAGAGATTCACTCTGCACGACAGAGGAAGAGGGGTAGCCGCTCGAGGGCTCCCGCGAATTCTTTGACGACTCGCTCTCGCCAACTGCAATAGAGTTGTTTCCCTCTTTTTCCTCCTGTGTGGTACTGGAAGTAGATGTTGTTGGGAGAGAATCAAGAGGACGGTTGTGGTTACTGGGTGAGTTGCCTGTGAGACTATGGCCAGTACGGTATTTCTGCAGGAAGCCGGTCTGAGTGAATAGATGGTTTTTGGCTGCTTTGATCTTCTCCCAAAGGTCTTGGTCCTCGTCCATGTTTTATCCCCGTTGCATTTTGATAAGAATCTAGGAGGCAGTTCTCATACATTGTTATTTATACTAGCTAAATACAGAAAAACGTTCAAACAAACAAAATAAGAAACAAACCCAAATGAGCTATAAGAGGCTGTATAAAATTCACTATAGAGGATGGTGAATAGTTATCAAATTGCTGTATGACAAATTGACAATACAGCAAGGCAGAGACAAAGACATAGTAAAGACAAAGAAAGGCATTTTCACTTCAAAGATTTCATCACAGATAGTTTTGATTTAATCTAGCATTCTGGTTGTACTCATTTGCTGTTCTACGAAAGTCAGTGTAGTTGGTAGACATACTCCGCAGTCTGGACATCATTGGAAGAACTTGCGAAAAAAAAAACAAGACCTCAATCTTTTACCTCCGACAAGAAAAGAGACACTTCTCAGACAGTCCTGCCAACAAAATGCTCTCAATATTAAGAAAAGCTCGGTTAAAGGACAAAGAGATGCGAATTCTGATGCTGTAGGTGTACACTCTCTTTTGGTGGATTTGATGCTGATACCCCTCCAGCGGGCTTGATAATGCCGGCAAGACCACCATTGTGAAGAAGATTATGAATGAGGACGTCAATACAGTTAGTCCGACACTGGGTTTTATTATAAAGACAATAGATTTTATGGGGTACGTTGTTTCCCCTCTCTTGCTGAAAATTTTACTGACTTCGTTGTAGCTATCGGTTAAATATATGTACGTCGTCGGATGTCTCCAACTCATCATACCACGACTGACCATCACCAGGGGACGTAGGAGGCCAGAAAACCCTTCGATCCTACTGGAAAAACTACTTTGAAAAGACCGATACTTTGATTTGGGTGGTCGATGCGACGGATCGGCTTCGAGTCGATGACTGTCGAGAAGAACTGGCCGGGTTGCTTTTGGAAGAGGTATGGTCTTTCTTTCTCTATACATTTATTTACTTTGCTAAGTTGTCGAATTTTTCAGCGTCTTATGGGAGCTAGTCTCTTGATCTTCTTGAATAAGACCGATGTCGGGGGATGCATGAGTCAAGATGAAGTTCGCGAGGTGAGTTTTCATTTCGACTTATTTTTATCTCTTTTCTTCTCTTTGATTACGATGTTCTCAACCCTGGTTTGCTAACTTTTCCTAGCGCCTTTGCTTGGATGCCATCAAAACACACAGATTGACCATATTGCCCTGCAGCGCCATGACCGGGAGAAACCTCCACGAAGGACTGGAATGGGTGGTCCAAGACGCGAAGGACCGACTATTCCTGTACTAGCCATGCGACACCTACGACTCCTTTCTCGACCATACGTACGGAGTATTTGCAGAATGGATAATTCCGGAAGACGCACTCCGTCCAAAGCACAGGGCACAAAACACAGAAGCGGAAAAAACGGGGGTTTTCCCCTTTTTTCGGGGGGAAAAAAAAAAAAAAAAAAAAAAAAAAAAAAAAAAAACCAGGGACCGTACCGGGATAAGCAGAAAAACCAGATCCTCGGAACGGAACCATCGAGAAAAAATAAATGTTGGATCTCAATCTCGCGCGGGAGGAATGCTTGGTTGAGGATCTATTGAAAGTGTTTCCAAGCAATGATATATCTAGTTACGTATCCTCTTTAGTACGGAGTACTGTACCTGTATCTATGTTGGCTCACCGTATATCTAGTCTACATACTTGTCACCGGCCTTTGTTCCTGGATCACTGAAATGCGTTAGTTATGTGTCAACTTCCGGGGCATATCACAATGCTTAGTTCACTCTAGCCATAATTCGCCACTAAAGCATTACCGGACCAAACGGATGCTCCGAGTAGTTCGTTTAGCCGTGGTTTAGTTAGCCAGGTACAATAATGCCGGGTTCGCGGGGCGGCAGACGGCTCCACCGGAGTTGGGCAGACGTAAACAGAGAGTAAACTAGACGGTAAAATAGAGAATGAGAAGAGGAGAGGAGAGAAGGGGAGTGACACAAGTGACAGCCACTGTTTAACTGAAAGGCCCTTTGTGCACGGAATTGCAGTAGAGCATGTGGTATATTTGTACTCCGTACTCCGTACAATTCTGTATCTGGACTGAATGCAGATTGGGCCACTGTGGAATAGCCAGCAACTTAGGACGCAGTGGAGCTTTTTTTTTTTTTTTTTTTGTAGTAATTACGCAGCAGAAGGAAAGAGGATTCTGACCTTCTTCTTCACTTCTTTCCATCTTCTCAGCCGAGCTTATTTTGGTGCTGTTCTTAAGCTCCACCACCACACCACCACCACCACCACCGAGCGCCCCAAAATAATCGACCATACAGGAAAACTCATCTTAAACCTCAAGAGACACACTCGTTCCGATCCAACACTCAACTCATTCATTCTCTTTATTATACTACGATTTTATCTGTCCTGCCATTCTTCATACTCTCTCTACTACCTGTATCCTTATATTCTCTCTGCATCATTCCCCACTGTGGCCTGTCTTTTCTTTTGCTGCTTTCTCTCGTTTCTTTTTCCAACCCTTGCTTGATTGACTGATTCCCCTGAATTTCCCCTCTCCTTTCCAATTTTCCATCTTTATCTGGCTGGAAGGCATCCTCGCCAGTCATGGCTTCTTCCAATCCAGACCCCGACGGGACCGAGGATGTCAACGATTTCCTGCAACGAATCCGCCAGTTGGGAGAACAACGCGACAAGGAGGACGAGGAGCGCACAAAGAAGTTGGAGGAAGAGATCCTGCAAGGTCGACGGGAACGACAAGCCCGGAGAGCAGGTAATATTCACTTTCCTACTTTCTTTTTTTGTCTTCTTTGTTTTGGAAATTGTTCCGTTTGACACTCCACATTCCTGTTTCCCCCTCCCGCGGTGACTCGACCCCTCCATGGCAGACATTTTGTCGATTAAAAGGAGCAAAGAAAGGATGAATTGATACTAATCTTGTCCTTTACATAACAGAACGCGCTCGTTCGATATCTCCCACAAAAGACTCGCCCCTCTTGGATGCCGCTCGATTGAGCATCTCGTCCATCGGCTCTCGACCAATCGACCCTCCAGAGCATTTGGAGCCCACTACACAAACAACAGACCCTGAATCCTCCAACAAACCCGATCCGACTAGTACCAATCTCGATTCGACGCTGACAGAGGTTCCTGAGGAACCGAAAGCGAATGAGTACGAAATGGACACCTCTCCTGCGAGACCTACACCGCCGTCCCCTCTCGCTCGGAGTCGACACGGAACATTATCCTGGCAACAGCGACCCTTGTCACGAGAATTTGGCCGTTCCCTCTTCTCGACATCTCCTACTCGCGCAAACCGTCTGAGATCCAAGTCCTCGGTCACCGGCGATAGTCAGGGTCAGGAGCGGCCTCCATCTCGGGATCAAAACACACATGCTTGGTCGGCCAATGATACGACTCCTGCACCCCACCAAACCACGGATCGAGAATTTGAGTCTCCAACGCTGCAGAAGAACACCGCAGACGATGTGGATTCGAACCGTGACCAAGAGGTGCCAGAAACCGCTCGGGAGAACACGGCGGAGCAAGAAAAACAGACCGGTCAGCAGAATGTCGACGAACGATCCCGTTCTCCCTCCAGGGCAAGCTCGACCTTCGGGGACAGCACCGTGAGCAATCGATATTCAAGCATGTCATCTGTCTCAACAGCCACAGGACTCGGTTCTCCGCTTCCGTTATCGAGTGTACAGAGATTCGAACCTCCAAAGACAGAATCGAGCACAGAAGAGCAATTGCCTCCGTCTCCTACCCAGCGACGACTCTCGCCAGAGCGTCCGTCATCCCCGACAAAAGGACTTGGTGGATTCGTCCAGAGTGCCATGATGAAACGGTCCGATACCGTTACGAAGCGGTGGAGTGCACAGCTTCCTTCGAATCTCACTCGGAATAATTCTATTTCCAGCAACCGCAACAGCATCGCAGTACCGAACCATGGGGATACGTTTCCCGCAACGAGCCCTACTAAGCTCGGCAAGGATGCTTCGTCTTTATTGTCCCATCGCCCAAGCTCGAGTCACAGCGAGGCAACAGTTGTTACCAACAGAAAAGGAAGTGAAAGACCATCCACTCCTCCTGTTCCTAACGACGGCAACGAAAACAGCGGAAGGGACACAAAGACTGAGGAAGGTGCATCTCAGCCATCGCTCACTCCCCATGCGAGAACCGCTAGCACCCTGGACAAGGAGGACCGGAATGCCGATCCTAACCCGACAAGTCCGGTAGTCTCACGGACCATGGACCCAAAACGGTGGAGTCCTACTAAAGCCACCTGGCTGGAGAGTGCTCTGAACCGGCCCGACTTGCCAAGGCATAAGAAGCAACCTTCGCAAACTTCTTGGAAGGATCGCCAGTCCCGAGGCAGTATCGACCTAGGCCGGTCAAATAGCTTTAAGGAAGTCACTCCAGCGGGTCTTATGCGTCCTGTCCCTCTCGGTAACCACTACAAAAAACCCAGCATTACCGGATTACCGGATTTGTCTGGCACGCTAGACACAGGCAAAGGAAAGATGCCTTCTGGTTTGGATCCTTCCAAGGAGAGTGAGCCAGCGACCATGGACAAACCAATCACGGAGAAGAAGGAAGAAGAGGAGGTTGCTCCTTCTCCTTCGCTGTCGACCTCAACGGAAAAGAGCCCAGTTCAAACTACGTCGGGTGTGCCGGACCGCAAACCTGCACCTCTCACCCTCACGCCCACACCTAATTTCGCACCACCTTCCCCCCTATCCGCTCGAGATCCCGCATCGCCAAAGCCAAAAGCGCAATCCCCCATCGTCGACTTTAGGGCCAACCTTCGGAAGCGAGAAGTCGCCAAGGAAAAGGAAGCTACACCCAAAGGCGACCAGGAACCGGAGTTCAAGAACATTTTCGGGAAGCTGAAGAAGACAGAAAAAAATTCCTTTACGCAACAAAATGACCTCAAGGACAATATCCTTAAGGGGAGGGCGGCATTGAATGCGACCGGTGGCCCAAAGAAGAGCTCCAAACCGGATGACGTGAAGGAAGGTCTTCTCAAGCAGAAAGACATCAGGACCGGCGGCGGCGGGTTATCGAGGCGAAATACCGCCGGGGAAAACGACGCCTCTGCCAAATTCGTCCCCGAGGCCATCGCCAGGCGACATCACCTTAGTAAATCGAGCAGCGTCCGAAGCAGCAATGCACCTTCCTCGCCCTCAACCCTCGAACCCGGCACGCCGCGAGACTTGCAGAGTCTGAAGTCGCCTGTTTTCTCGCCTCAGACCGAAGGAAGCACCGAAAATCCAGAAAGCCCCCATCCTCAACTCTCGCCTACGCCTGTCGACTTCGCCGCCCACGAGCCCGAGCCCGAGCCCCAACCCGAACCCCAACCTACCGATCTCGCCTCCCCTGTTGCCGAACCTAGCCCCGAAGAGATTGACGCATTGGGGGAACAAACAAAGAAGGACGACGAGCTCGAAACGAAACAAGAAGACTCGAATGCGAGTGATGAAGCCATTCAGCCGGTGCGTGCTTTGCCGTCGGAAACCGTCGCGGCAGTCGCAACTCCGTCTGCGCCTGCTGCGACTGAAGGTCTCGCTGCTAAAGGTAATAAACTTGCAGGCCGAATCAACCCTGCCTTAGTGGGGCTTTTGTCTCGCGGGCCCTCCAATGCTGGTGCAAGTGATGGATCGAAGGATACCGTCCCTTCTGGGCAAAGCGGCTCGGAGTCAGCCCCCGGTGCTCCATTGACGCATGTTACGAAGAGTCGGGCAAGAGGGCCGAGGAGACGTGCGCCAGGGGCTACTGCTACCGGTCAAACGGAGTCGCCTGCTGTTGTTCAACCTGAGTTCCCTTCTCAACCCAAGCAGTCCGTTGGTGAACCCGAGTCATTTGCTCCAAAAGATGAGGCGTTCGCTCAGTCCGAGGTACCGATCCCAAAAGACGAGCCATTGGCAATTCAAACTGAGCAGCTCTCTAGTGAAACGGAGCCTGTTGCCCCAAACGATGAATCCCCTGCTGCTCAGTTTGAGTCTCCTGTCAACGAGCCTGAGCCATCTGCTCATATCTCCAGCGAAGCAGAAGCGTCTGCCTCAAACGACAAGCTATCGGCGGCTGAGCCTGAGCTGAATGACCCAAAAGGCGAGCTGCAGACTGTTCAGACTGAGTTGCTTGAGGCATCTCCCATCAAGACTGAGCAGTCTGCTATTGAGGCGGAATCACCTGTCGTGAAATATGAGCCTGTCATGGAGCCCGAATCTGTAATCACGCATCCAGAGCCGCCTACCCCAAATCATGAGGTGTCCACCGCTCAAATTGAGTTGCCAGTCAGTCAACCTGAGCCTTCGGCCCAACCTGAGCTGCCTTCCCCAAAGGATGAGTCCACGCCTGAGTTCGAACTTCCTACCGCCCAGCCTGAGATACCCTCCGTGCAACATGAGGAGCAATCTGAAGCAGAACCAACCGTTCCAAAGGATGAGCCTGTCGGTGAGCCTGAACCTGTTGTGACGCAGCTGGAGTCTCATATCCCAAAAGACGATGTGCCGGTCAGCCAATCTGAGCCTTCGGC